TCTTATGAAAATGTAAACTCAGAAATTCTGCGTCAAATATGACCAAATGGATCAGAAGCACATTGAAAGAATAATAAAGCATAACCAAAATGGATTTTATTTGGGGAATACAAAAGTAGTTTAGTATTCAGAAATTCTATTAATATTATGTAACATGTTGACAATTGAAAAGAGCAATACTATGTGCTAGGAAACAGTTGACAGAATGCAGTGTCTTTCTGATCATTTTCAGTTTCTCTTAGTAAAATTAGAGCAAATGAATACTACCACAGGATACATGTGACACTGATTTTACGTGTGCATGTGTACATGTCTTTATATGTGTTTAAACACACACATATGCATATCTCTAAACCCAGTAACACGTTAAATTGTAAATCCTTAAAAAAGCATTCTCATTAAAATAATAAATAAGACAAGGATATGTACTATTATTTAATATTGTTGTAGATATTAGCTAATGCACTTACATAAGAGAAGTAGTATATGTTAAGGAGGATTTCAAAGAATAATTGTGTATGCCTAGAAATATAAAATATATTGTGCTACAAATAGTATAAGGAACTATTAATATATTTATTTATTTATTTATTTATATTTTTTATTGATTATGCTATTACAGTTGCTCTATCCCCCCCTTTATTCCTCTCCACCCCACAACCCCATTCCCCCCCTTTCGTTCATGACCACGTGTCTTAAGTTCTTTAGATTCTATATTTCCCATACTATTCTTGCCCTCCCCCCTATCTATTTTCTGCCTACCATCTATGCTACTTATTTTCTGTACCTTCTCCCCCCTTTTCCCCTCCTCTCCCCTGTTGCTAACCCTCCATGAGATCTTCATTTCTATGTTTCAGATCCTGATCTAGCTGTCCTTTTAGTTTGCTTTTGTTTTAGGTGTGGTTGTTAATAACTGTGAGTTTGCTGTCCTTTCATTGTTCATATTTTTTATCTTCTTTTTCTTATCTAAGTCCTTTTAACTTTTCATATAATAAGGGCTTGGTGATGATGAAATCCTTGAATTTGACCTTATCTGAGAAGCACTTTATCTGTCCTTCCATTCTAAATGAAAGTTTTGCTTAATAGAGTAATCTTGGATGTAGGTCTTTGGATTTCATGACTTGGAATACCTCTTTCCAGCCCCTTCTTGCCTGTAAGGTCTCTTTTGAGAAATCAGCTGACAGTCTGATGGGAACTCCTTTGTAGGTGACTGTGTCCTTAGCTCTTGCTGCTTCTAGGATTCTTTCCTTCATTTTAATTTTGGCTAATGCAATGATGATGTGCCTTGGTGTGTTTCTTCTTGGGTCCAACTTGTTTGGGACTCTCTGAGCTTCCTGGATTTCCTGGAAGTCTATTTCCTTTGCCAGATTGGGGAAATTCTCCTTTATTATTTGTTCAAATAAGTTTTCCATTGGTGGCTGTTCCTTTCCCCCTTCTGGTACCCCTATAATTCGGATATTGGAGTGTTTAAAGATGTCCTGGAGTTTCCTAAGACTCTCCTCATTTTTTTGAATTCTTGTTTCTTCATATTTTCCTGTTTGGCCATTTTTTTCTTCTTTCTGGTTCATTTCCTTGATTTGAGTCCCAGTTTCTTTTTCATCACTATTGGTTTCCTGTGCAATTCCATTCATTTCAATTAGTTTTGCCTTCATATGTTCCTGTAATGTGACTAAAATCAACCATTTCTGTGAGCATCCTGATCACCAGTGTCTTGAACTGTGTGCATCTGAAAGTTTTGCTATTTCTTCGTCGCTTAGAGTTATATGCTCTGGGCCTTTGAGATCTTCCTGAGCCATTTTTGGTCTGTTTGCACCCGTTAAGTATAAGGAGCAGAGCCTTAGGTGTTCACCAGGGTGGGGTTGCCCACATCACTGGGTTGTGATGCTGTATGTGGGGGTGGGGTCAGAGTGGGAAATGGCGGCCCCCTCTGTTGCCTCCTGCTGCTGGGGCCTGCTCGGTCCTGGCTCACTGCCCATTCCCTCGCTGGTCTATTTATGCACAAATGCGTGACCACAGTCAACCTGCCGCCCTGCACCCTCACTGGTTCCTCCTGTCGCTCACTGGATCGCTCACTGGGTCACTCACTGGGTCTGCCCGTTGCAACCCCACGCCTGGGATCTGCGCGCCTGAGTCCATCTGACCGAGTTTTCCTGTGTAACTGGCTTCACCCCTCTTACCGGTCAGGCTGAAGAATTTGTTGTTATCAGACTTCTGAAAAGTTCAGTTTTGTGTGTTCTGGCTGTGTTTTCTGTTGCTAATATTTTGTTGTCTCTAAACTTGGTTGTGTAAGAAAGCATGGTATCTTCACCTATGCCTCCATCTTGGTGGAAGATCTCAGGAACTATTAATATATTTAATAGTTAACTAAAAATAATATGAAGAACAATTGGTACATTTAATAAGGAGGCTGGCTACAAAGATTTGATAGACAGCAGTTTACTGCATATAAGCAAAACACATTAGAAAATATAATAGAAGAAATTTCTATTTATAGTAGCTAAGTGAAAGTTATAAACACCAAGAAATAAACTTTACAAGAAATATGCATGACCCATACAGAAATAAAAGAGATTTGAGAAGCAGATGTATATTGCACAGGATGACAACATTGTACAATTTTTTTCTTTCTTTTTCGATTAACTATATATTCACTAAAATAGTCAGAAGTTTTTTTCTAATCTATAAAGTTTTCTACTGAAGTTTAAATGAAAATTAAGTGTAAGAATAGCCAGGAAACATCGGAATAAAGAAATAGAGAGACAAATAAAACTGCTCATTAATATGTGATAAACATGGTTGCCACACTGAGTTAATCTAATGTCCTATGAAAGCAAAGCTATTTTCATGAACCTGTATTGCCCGTTTATGGAAAAAGAATAGATTTTCATCAGCTTTATAATGTCAAATTACAGTTGATCCTGGAACAATATGGGGGTCAGGGGCACTGACCCTAGTGCATCGAAAATCCACGCACAGCTTTTTTGCCCTCTCTGGTCCCCCATTCAACCTTGGCTGCTGCAATCAGACAGACAGAAAGTATGAGAACCCCCTTTTCTTGGGTCTGCATTTAGCAGCAGGCAGTAACTGTAAAACATGCATCACATACAACTTTTAACTTTCCAAAAACTTAAGTTTTCTCTCAGTATTTGTGAGGGATTAGTTCCAGGACCCCACTGTGTCTATCAAAATGTGCAGATATGCCACAGGAATTTTTAAAACATGCAGATGCCTGACTATTTAGTCAGGGGCACTGACCTCTTTTACCTTAGACTGTCAAATAAAAAAATAATAACAGCCAAAAACAATAGCTGTCCAATGTGAATGAAACAAAATTGTGCCTATTTTTTCGTCAGATTGGCAAAAAATATAATGCATTTTTTGGTGTGCTGAAGAATTTTAGTAATTAGTTTATGTGTGCCAGGAGATCAAAGAGGCTGAAAATCGCTGGCACAGATCAATGCATATGGCCAGCCCACCACATCTGTGGACCCCCCAAGTGCAGTGCAAAAACAGTACAGTTATTTATTTTTAAAATTCATGGATAAGTAGACCCATGAAATTCATACCTATGTTGTTCAAGGGCCAGCTGTGTTAAAGATAATTCGTATATATCCATAACTTGAATCACAACACATTTATTGACCTAGAATGTGAGGCTAAAGAAAGTTGGGTGGTGTGAGTGATTGTGTGTTACATAACTGCTCTATCGTTTGGATTGTACTATAACAATTCAGTTTTCAAGAGTCCTATAACTTTGTAATTTTTCATGTCTAGCTGTATTGGAGATGTTAGCTGTGTTTATATAAGGATTCTCCTGATGTAAGAGATAGTTATGTAATTTTTGCTTTGGTTTTAGGAACTTAGCTGTAATCAGTCCACATTTGAGTAACAAAATCAATGAGTTGCGTAGCACACGACTGTGCTGACAGACTGACTAGAGTGTGATGTGCTGTCTGATTGTACCGCCTGCCGCATGTTTCTGACGGACTGTTCGCTGTACGACTTCCAAATTGTTTTTTGTTAGGACCCAATGTTCCAGAGGTATTTTAGAAACTTATATTAAATTTTGATTTCATTTTACATGTATATCTTGAATTACTTAAAAGCCTGTGAGTTGAAAGTGGTAGACATGTACATTTAAACTTTAATACAATGGAGACAACTACTGTGCTCCCCAGGTCAACTCAGTCTTTACGGACCTCGGAGTAAAGCTCTTCCTGCTTTATGTGTGTACTTAATTCCTCGGACATGTGTCATCACCAGGAGTGGTATGACTCTGGGCTTGTCGCTTTAACTTCCTGGTTAAGAGTGCACACTAGGACAGCTGGCAAACTCACGACTTGTGTTTCTCTGTATTTTATCTTCTGATATATAGAACAGGAGCAAAATAGCGCATTTTCCAACTGCTTAGCTCAGTAGGGATTATTTTGATGAATTTTATCTACAACCTTCTGAAGGTCTTTGAGTAGACACAACTAGAGAACAATATGCTAATTTTGCATAACTGACTACAGGGCCAGTTTCCACTTGGTGCTACAGTGACAGAGACACACACAGAAGGGACGGTGACTACTCAGGACATCCCGTTTCCTAAGTAAAAAATTACTGATGGGGAGGTGCTTAACATTTATTTGGCCCTATGCTGAAAATCATTCGCTATGAAATAAAGTTCTCCATGTGTGACTCTGGAAAACACAGCAGTGTGTTGGTGGCAGGAAATGCCAGGGGCCCAGGAAAGGACTGTTAGGGCTCTGCTTGGCTGGCTCTAGGGCTCAGGGAATGTTGCTTAACTTTTTGTGGCTTTGGTTTCTCCACAAGATTGCTTTGGAAAATTAGTTTAACTGAAGTTGATTTGAAAAGTAATGTGTTACATAAACTTTTAGGTATTGTAAATGAAGCTATTAACTTATAATTTCTGATATATTTATAATTAGCATTGGTATTCCTTTCCCATTCTATACCTTTTTACATCCCCTCTCCCCCAAATGTTCATTCCTCAGGGCATTACGCTAGAAGAGTTTGACAGATTATCTTTCGATATGATTTTAATGAGCCCTCCCTGTCAGCCGTTCACAAGGTATGTATAATAAATACTTCTCTGTTGAGAAAGTGCTTTTGAAGGACTCGTTAAATCAAATCATACCATAGTTTTGAGCATGGACACTTTGAGGGACATCACCTGCATTTTCATAGTTTTAAAATTTGTCATAAATAATTTATTTTACCTACTCATATTTATAATTCAGTGTTAATTATGAAGAAAATAGCAATTACTGCCACATGAGCAAAGCGATTTGGTCAGTAGTAGATGTGCAGTGACCACATGGGACCTCTTTTATACCTTCCTAAGAAGATACCATCACAGGCCACTGAACGGGAGGGGTACGTTCGGAGAAGTGCATGGCCAGGCAATGCCGTCCCTGTGTAAGCGTCACGGAGCGCACTTACACGCGGCTGGGTCACGTGGTTACGTGCTGTTCCTGCCGCTCCCGGGCTACAGGCCTGTACAGCACGTGCAGTACTGAGCACTAGACCCTTATAACACAATGGTAAGCATTTAGGTGTCTAAACATATTAAACCTGGCAAAGGTACAGTAAAAATTTGGTGTCAAACATAAAATATGGTATACCTGTATAGAGTATTTACCACGAGTGGAACTCGCAGGAGTGGAAGTTGCTCTGGGGAGTCAGTGAGTGAGTGTGAATGAATGTGAAGGCCTAGGGTATTACTGTGCACTTCTGTAGGCTTTGTACACACTGTACACTTAGCTACTCTAAGTTTATGAAACAACATGGATTGAATCAAACAAAAGAAAACGATGCAGCCAAGAGACATGGTGAAAACGTTGTATTCATGAGGCTGTTGCCAGCGTAACCTGGCGTACTGTTTTACAGCAAACTTAGCTTAATAAGTAGAAAGGGTACACTCTAAAATGATAAAAAAGTATAGTATATTAAATACATAAGCCATTGTTTAACCAACATGGTCAATTATTATCATTACCAAGTATTACATACTATACATAATTATATGTGCTGTGCTTTCATAGGACCGGCAGTGCAGTAGGTCTGTTTACATCAGTAACCCTACAGTCAGGTAAGGCATTGCCTATGTATGATGCTGTGATGGCCACAGCATCACTAGGCAATAGGGATTTTCAGCTCCATTATATAGCCGTGTGCTGGCAGTAGCAGTAACTGATTCTGTACTGCTGTCACCACTTGGATGCTGAAAGGAAAGGGTCAGAGTGAGAACAACACAAGATTTCTGAGAGCTCTGTTCAAATCCACTCTAATCTCCCATTTAAACCTCAGGCCCACTGACGGTTTTAGCCTTGCTGTCAGGTATGAGGAAATGGACACATGACATTAGGTAACTTATTTAAGACTATGAGGCTAGTAAGTAGCACGGTTCTCTGTTTTCTACTCCTGAGGCCCAATCCCAGTCTTTCCTCCTGCTTGATAATTTGAATCTTTAAAAAAATTTTTTCACTTAAAGTTGGCATTAAAAATTATTTCATATTAGTTTCAGGTATACAGCAAAGTGGTTAGACAATTAACTATTTTGAATCTTATTTGTAAGAAATAATTGCTAGTCCAAATACTGCCTGTGTAAGTGATCTGTTTTGACCTAGTTAGTGTAAGTAACCAAGTTGCAACTCCTGCTTGTAGAATCAAGACTTCAGCTATCTTAAGTCTCTCCTTTTTACATTGGGCAAAATTGTCTTAGTTTTCCCTACTACTTTGATCTGCTTAGATGATATGTGTTGCCAACCTACCCAAGCAGCTCATTCGTTGACTGGAACTTCTGTTGTCTCATCTGGGGCAGAGCAAACATTGCCATCAGCTATTGTGTGTGTGTGTGTGTGTGTGTGTGTGTGTATCTTTCCTAATCCAAGTTATTTTAAGGGGGTAATTGATTTTATTCTTCACCACTGACTTCTTGGATTTTGCCTTATGGAAGTCATTTGGCATATTGTTTGGTAAAAGTAAATTGTAAGTGTGTTTATTAGGTAAACAAGGCCTTCTGAAAAATTGAATGAATAAATGCATTTTGTTCTCTGTAGCCCAACTAATTTTAATTCACTTGGTTTGAACTTTTTAACTGTGATCTGGTATGTTTATGTAAGATTCTTGATAAACTTGTGTGTGCTTTCTCAACCCCTTTAGAATTGGTCTGCAAGGTGATGTGACTGATCCAAGGACAAGTAGCTTCTTATATATTCTAGATATCCTCCCAAGGTAAAACCTTAGATTCCTGTACAAACTTACCTTAAGTTTAAAACTTTGGACCTGGAAATGTGATGTTGGTCATTTTATAGGAATTAGCAGTGCATGCTGCCTCAAGATACTGTGCGGTCATTTATCCTCTGCCATGACTAATACAATAACTGCAAGTGTTTGCTGATTCCACAGTTGCCACTACAGTGAGTGACAGGGAATTATAGCCTAATAGCTGAATTCCGTTGCCTGTGCTCACGGTATTAATGCAGCTGAAGCTTTTCTTGGCAAATGCTGGTACCCATGGTCTGGGAGCTTGTGCCAGTCCTGGGAGTGACAACGCTGTGTATGTGGCGGCTCACTGAGTTGCGGTGTAGAGGCCCTGTGTGAAACCACGTTTGAGATAAACTCAATGGAAATTAATGTTTCAGATGTTAACTTTATCAGGTGTGCTATGATTAGGGGGAAAAATGAATAAAATATGAGTTGTCTTCATCCCTTATACAGTTCTTTTATTAGAAAAAGAGAGTTCAGGAAATTACTTACATCGTATTTCCCACAGTAAGGATTTTCTTTATATCTTACTTCTTAGCAATGAGATTTTTGGAATTCCATTTGTTTTTGTTTTTGTATTTTTTTTAGATTACAAAAATTACCGAAGTATATTCTTTTAGAAAATGTTAAAGGTTTTGAAGTATCTTCTACAAGGTAAAAAATGTGTTTGTCTTGTGTTCATCTTACACATAGTATAAGTACATTAAATAGTATTAAATATAGTAGGAACTATTGTGGAATAAAGATCTTAAAAATAAACATGTACATTCTGACATTTTATATCATGTTATATATTTTATTCAGAATGTTGATTTTGACTAATTAATAATATGAAGCATCACAAGGTTAAGTTTAACTGATTCTTTCCCATTCTGATATTTGAATTCTTCCAGAATGAGCACTCATTTTAATGAGAAGCTATTTCTCAATTTTAACTGCTTTTTTGGTGCCTATTTCTTTAGAAGCAGGAATGTCTTCAGTGAGAATTGGTTGTTAAGATCCATCCAAATTGTTGCAAATGGCAGTATTTTATCATTTCTTGTGGCTAAGTAGTGCACCATTGCATATATGTACCACATTTTTTTATCCAGTCATCTATTAAAGAATCTTGAGAATATCATGTTAAACAAAGTAAGTCAGTGAGAGTCATATGATGTCACTAATGTGTGATATAAAACTGAAAGCAACAAATCAACAAACATGAAAAAAACAAAAACTTATAGACACAGACATCAGTATGGTGGTTACCAAAAAGAAGGGGTGGGGAACCAGATCGGTGTATGGTGATGGAAGAAGATTTGACCTTGAGTTATGGTCATGGTCACACAGTGCAATATACAGATGATGTATCATAGAATTGTGCACTCGAAACCTATACAATTTTTATTATTTACTTACCGCATCTGTTTTATTAACTAGTGTCACCCCAATAAATTTAATTGACAAAAGAGAAAAAGAGATTCGACTTTGTGGACAGGCATTTTCCGTCCTAGAGTTAGAGGGGAGAAGCAAGCCCTGTGTCAGGGCCCTTTCCCATGGCAGCCCAGATGGAGAGAACACACCCAAGTTTTTGATTCAGCTGCTGTCTCTAACAGTGTTGCCCCATCTGATTTGCTACAGATAGTTCCAGTTCACATAGCAAATCTATTATCAGTAGATGAGTGATTCTATTTCTCACCAGTTTGGATAAATTATTTGATAGCTGTATTTATTTATAATTTGAATTATCTCCTTTTTTGGTGGGAATGTAATTTATGAAGTACTGGACTTAATAAAGACCTAGGATTATTCTTTCTAAACAACTTGAGTGGAGGTACAGTTTTCACTTAAAATGCAGTTTTATGTATGATATTTTACCTAAGAACTCCATTTTCACCTGTGGGATGAAAGCTTTTCTTTTTTCTTTCCTTTTATTTTTTTTGTCTTTTCAGAGACCTGTTAATAAAAACAGTGGAAAATTGCGGCTTTCAGTACCAAGAATTTCTGTTATCGCCAACCTCTGTAGGTACCAAAATTATAAATTCTTACATAAATTTTTTCAAAGGGAATTTGAGTCAGTAAGAAGAATGGATCTATATGGATAATATAGGTAAATCTTAACATTACTTCAGACATGGGTTTTACTTTCAAAGAATATGGTGAATCTATAGGCTTATAGATTCACTTACATATTTTTTATGAAAAATATATAACTTGAGGCTCACAGAGAATATATTTTTCTTTGCACACAGAAAAAAAAGATGTTTTGAAAAATATGTGAAATACAGTATTACCAACTATGTGTGCTGCAGCTTAGTAATGCCTCAAAATAATCCAAAATAGAAAACAAAATGAACACAGGATAATTTGTAATTCCTCTGAGGGGCATACCATTAAAATGCAGACATTGCTTGTATTTCATGGTTAAGAAATGGATTATGATAGGAATTTAGTAGATTTTTGATATTGTAAGTATACTGTCTATTTTCATCTTTTGTTTATTAACCTGTTATCACCTTTTACCTATTTTACAATTTTTTATCCTAACATTAGAAGAAAACCCATTTCAAAAATTAGATGTCTGTATTTTTGTTCTTATTTTTGTTGTTGTTACTGAAACTAAGTATACCCTAAGACTAAAATCAAGTACATTAAAAAAAAAATTTGGTGTCATTCACAGTGACTTCTCTGTAGGATCAGAGGTATCTGCCTGCTTTATGGTCGACCCAAATTGCGGGGGGGGGGGGGGTGATAGGTGCCCTAGTTAATAAGGGGCTTGTAACCTTTATCCATCTTCCTCTTTTCAGTCTGTTCCTTTATTCAATAAATTTGTATTGAATGAACACTTACTTCCATGTGGAACTATCTTTAATGGACTATGTAGGCTAATGTTATACTTTAAACCTAAAACTAAATTAACACCAATATAAAAAAATTAGATGTCCAGCTGTGGAAATTGGCGATATACCTGACCTCATATTTTATTTCATTTTTATTGCCTTTTACCTTTAAAATTTGATGAATCCTTTTTTAAATAAAATGAGATTATAAATAGCTAAGAGTAGCTGTATTTTATTTTTTATAGGTACATATTACAATAATGAATGTAAAAATGTCTATATAACTTCTTTCCTGGGAAATATAAAATGAAAGTGACTTACAGACATATAATTTATCAGATTCAATCTTTATTTCATGCAAAATAAGGTATATAAAAGCAGTTTAAAGGGTTTAAGAGTTGGTGCAAAGGAGTCTTCCACAACTCAGTAATAGAATTTATTTGTAGCAGAGGCTAAATGTCCCTCCCTGAGTTTCTTTACTAGGTGCTAACAGTTGATTCAGATCTCTTTAATTTCCAGCTTGGCATTCCAAATTCAAGGCTACGGTATTTCCTTATTGCAAAGCTTCAGTCAGAGCCATTATCTTTTCAAGCTCCTGGTCAGGTATTATTATTGTTGTTGCTGTTATTTCATTATTATTTATCTATTGGAAATATATCTCAGTGTGCTAATATATTTCAAAAACTACATTGTGGAGATTTTATATATATATATACACATATATATGTATATATATAAATAAGCAATATATATCAATATATATTATATATATAATACAATAAGATATACATACATATATCTTATTGAACCTGTGATGTAGACCATGCCCTAGGTCTATCCCCTAGGCATTTCTTTCTAATGATGCCAGTTTTATTGCTTTAAACAGAACACTTTTGTTTCATCATTAGAAAAAAATGAGTTAAAAGTTTTTAAAAGTTACCATTAATGCTGTTATCTTCCTTTTCCTTCTATAATTTACCTTCTGACCATTGACTACTTTGCGTCATAATTCCCCCAACAAAATCCATTGACTACTTTTGATAATTAAAAAAATGGCTTAAGAGCATTTTCATGCATTGGTTGCATTTTTGTTGAAGTCAATGCAATTTAGCCTTAATTGATTAAAAGAGGTAATGATGGTACAAACTAAAATAAAATGCCCAGTTGCTATAATAGGATATCTAATTATATAGGCAGTTGTACATGCTTCTGTCAGAGTTTGTCTGAATAATAGAGCTTCAGTGGTTCAAGTGAAGCTCTCCATAAAGCATCACAGGTAAGAACTTAAAGTCATATCCTGGCAACAGGGTCAGTAGTGTGATTTCAATCCCTGCAATATAATATCAGTACAGTCCCCTCCCTGTAGTGGGCAATTCCAAAAAGAATGTATAAAATATATTAACAAAGATTCATCATTGAAAATTTCTGGAACTTTTTTCCCCCCAAAATAAGACTTTATACACGGTTATATGTTTTGCAGGAACAAGTTTTTCCTTATGGAACTCAGGAGTAGAAATAACCTTTCAGGGTGAAGGTGGTTTTTTATAGTTACTAATTTTACTTTAGATCATGGGTATGTTCTAGTTTTTTTCATTGATGAAGGGGTAAGGCAGGCTTTTTTCCAAAGCACAATTTCTAGAAATGCTAATGTTGCTTTCTAAACTTTTTTCACAGATACGATGTTTTACATTTATTCAACATACTTGTGTTACTTTGTTGAATTTTTTATTAATAAATACAGAAAGTAGTAATTCCATGAAATAAATCGTTTGCAGCCAGATGACACCAAAGCTGTATGAAGAAAAACTTGTAACAATTTGTATAAATACAAGTAAACCACAGTTTTTATCTTTTTAATGACAAATTTATAAGGGCTAAAAGATTTTTTCATATAATGTTGGCTAGATCTTATTAATTTCCTTTATTTTTAATAAAGTTTTGGATAATTTTTATATTTTTGCTTAATGCTAGATACTGATGGAGTTTCCCCAGATTGCTTTTGAACATCCTCAAAAACATGTGGTAGATGCAGGAAAGAAAATTGAAGGAAAGAAAATTGAACCAAATGTTTGCTTTGATAGCAGCAGACAGTGTTCTGGAAAAGAAGCCGTTCTTTATAAGCTTGAAACTGCTGAAGAAATTGACCGGAAACATCAACAGGACAGTAATCTCTCTGTGCAAATGCTAAAGGATTTTCTTGAAGATGACGCTGACATGAATCAGTACTTTTTACCACCGAAGTCATTGCTTCGATACGCTCTTTTGTTAGACATTGTTAAGCCCACTTGCAGAAGGTCCATGTGCTTTACAAAAGGGTAGGTTTCAAAGAGACTCTATTCATAGTATGTCCACAATAACCAGGTTTTTATACCCATTGTTTTCCTTAGTTCTTCTCAAATCAAGGAGCATTTTATAAAATGTTTCTGCTAGAATGATTTTTCCCCTTAATTGCCTGCTTTCATGTTCCAATAGAATGTACAAGTAAAAATTCCTTTTGGCAGAACATTATGTGCAGAACCCACAGAAGTGCTCATAAAAGATGATGCCGTTTGTTTGGTGACTTTCATGTGAGCGTAATTACCCATGGTGGAAATGTTGTTTGTAAAGATGCTGAATTGCTGATTTTTAGCACCGTTTTTAATGGTACAACGGACCTCAAAAATTTATATCCACTCATAATCAATGTAGAAGAAGAAATTAAATTTTAGCATTAAAATATAAAATTAAATCATCTGGCATGTGTTAGAGTACATTTTAAATTTATTCAGTTTTGCCCCAGCTGGGTGGCTCAGTTAGCTGAAGCATTGTCCCGTATGCCAAAAGGTTGTGGTGTCCCATCCCTGGTTGGCCCACATACAGGAGGCAATTGATCAGTATCCCTTTCTCTCGTTCTCTCCCTTCCTTTCTTTCTAAAATCAATAAACATATACTTGGGTGAGTATGAATTAATTAACTGATTTTATCCAATTTTAAAAATAAGTAATATATTCTTATGGTTCACAATACAAAAGTTACTAAGATTTTTTAAAAATATTTTATTTATTTTTTAGAGAGAGAGGAAGGGAAGGAGAAAGAGTGGGAGAGAAATATCAATGTGTGGTTGCCTCTCATGTGTCCCCTACTGGGGACCTGGCCTACAACCCAGGCATGTACCTTGACTGGGAATTGAACCAGCAACCCTTTGCTTCACAGGCCCGTGCTCAATCCACTGAGCTACACCAGCCAGGAAGGTACTAAGATTTTAAGATTGCCTTCTGCTCTGTCTTTTGGCGATTCAGTTTCCCTCTCCACATGCAACCAGTAATTTCAATTTACTGTCTAATCTTCCAGAGGTAGGTACTATGTGTGAGGGTGTATTTAAATATACATGTGTATTTTACCCCCTTCTTTAAGTAAGTGGTAACATATTGTATCCATTATTATGTGACCTTTTTTATTGCTCAATATAAATTGGATATTATTGCATATAAGTACATAAAGAACTCTTCTATTGTGTTACCACCTGGCTTGTTTCACTTAGCATAATACTCTCCCCTTTAAGTGGAACCTAATCAACAAAACAGACAAGCAAGCAAAATATAACCAGAGACATTGAAACTAAGAACAAACTGACAGTAACCAGAGGGGAGGTGGGAGGGGATAATGGGGAGAAAAGGGGGAAGGGTTTCAGGAACATCTATAAAGGATACATGGACAAAACCAAGGGGGGTTGAAATACGGAGAAGGGGATGGGGATGGCTGGGAGGCAGTGGTGAGGGGAAAATGCAGACACTGTTGAACAACAATAAAAAAATAATTCAGAGCCTAAAAAATAAAAGCATAAGATGAAAAACAACAATAACAACAAAAAGAACTTTTCTCATAGGATGGATATATCAAAATTTTTTTACTGGTTATCTTTGGGTTATTTCTAAATGTTGATATATGTTTCATCAATTACTTAAAACCTAAAAGGAAGGGAAAAATTAGGTCTTTCCAGAAAATGTTATAAAAGATCTCTGGCTCTGCTTTGTTAATGCCATTCAGCTTCATTACATAAGTAGTCATGTGATTTGCAGCTTCAGGCCTTCTCTTTACCTGCTAGCTGTCTGTCTTGCACCAGGCACTGTGCTTCTCACATAATCATACCAGACTCATTCTGGTTTTATCATACTTTGGCCTTGTACTTCCAGGGGAATGGGTTTATTGCTTTTTATTACCTTAAATGACTTCACTCACCTGTTGTCTATTTCCAAGTCCAATCGTTTTTTTTTAGGATTCTAATAAAATAAGACATTAATTTTGTAATAAAAGACAATCTGGAGATGTTTTTGTAATTATATAGTATGAAAGAAGCCTTACTGTAAAAGTCTATTTTAGCATAGATAATATATATATACATACATATATAATGACATATGAGAAAACAATTGTTCTCCAGTGTGAATTTTTCTTTAATTTATATTTAATATTGGTCTGTTGGGAAAAAAATAATGATAATATGTTGAACAACCAGATTGGCAATTATCTTAGGGAAGAAATATTAGTAACATGTTGTAAGTCTCATGTTTGCCATGGTCCCGGAGAGCAGGGTCTGTGTTTGCGAACAGACATGGTGGCTCCAGCACTGTAAGAAAGGGCAGCCCCTTAATTCCCCCACATAACATTGGTTTAAGTGGAAGGGGTGCAAACTGAGTACTATCTGTATGTAGATTGGTGACAAGTGCATGCTTACTGGTGATGAACCTTAAAAAGTGATGGTACACAGAAATGACAGTTGATACTACATGATTCAGAATATATTTACACTATTAACAAAACTATGCCAAGTTTAGTCTTTGGGAAATTTAAATAGAATGCTGTTATATCCCTCACCTAGTAATTTTCAATTACCAAGCATATTTATGTGATGATATTCAGAATGTTTCAGAAGCATATAATTATATGTAAGATTGGTTAATTTATTCAGTAAATATTTTTTTAAATTTCTTTAACAAATACATTAGATGCTATATAATATTTGTGTTAATTTTTCAGTTATGGGAGGTACATAGAAGGCACAGGATCTGTGTTACAGACCACAGAGGACGTGGAGGTACTGTACGCATGCTTTAGAATTAAACGATTTGAACATTGCTTTAAATAGAATGCTCAATACTTAAAATTTGATAATGCCAAAATAACTGTACATATGCCACTGGGAATTAATATATATATATATATATAATTTATTCATATTTATATTCAGGTATTGTAATTCTTTATTCCAGAAAATTTTCTTTTTCTTGTTGCATAAGTTTATGTACAAAAATATTTTATGTTTTTATTTTGTTTTTATTCCTACCTTTTGGATTTTTAATTCCATAAAGAATAAATTGACATGCATTATTTCTCTAAAATTATGCATACATATTGTGATATTGGACACTTCCTTTGGAGCACATGCTATAAAACTGACTTTTAAGGAAAGAAATCTGTGTTTTAGCAAGATATTTTATTAATACTTCAATTATAAACTCTTTGTGGTGTCCTGGTTACATATAAACTTAATATATTATAAGTTTTATACTTTTGAATAAGTTTGAAATGAAATCACATTATCTTCTTTTAGGCTGATTTAATCTCTTACTAAAATTTACCCATTTTTTTTACCCAAAAATCTTATCAGAGGCATGATTGTCTGTATTTATGAAATTATACTTACTGAATATATTTTATCATTTTAAGAAAATAATTTAATGAAATTGATCATAAACAGTAAACGTTTTAAAGATATACTTGTTGAGCATTATAAAATCAATTTCATGGTTGATCGAGTTTCTTTTTTTAAATCTTTCCCTATACATCTTTTATGTTATATCATTATTTGTTGTTTATATTTTTATAATTTAATTTTTGAGGGATCAAAAATGACAGATCCTCTGCAAGTACCCTGATCTGTTGAACATTAGCTTTTGTTTATTTTCTAAGTTTATGTCACTACCAATGAGCCAGTTATATCGTTTATAGAGGAGACATTTTTCCCATGCTGCCTGTGTGGTAGCAGACTGTATGGCTGGCTTTTTAAACTGTCTCACAACGCATGATCTTAACAAATCTAGCTGCATTCCCCTTTATCAGTTATCTTGTGTTTTTCTTACAGATTGAGAACATCTACAAATCTCTTACCAATTTGTCACAAGAAGAAAAGATTAAAAAATTGTTAATGCTCAAACTTCGATATTTCACTCCTAAAGAAATAGCAAATCTCCATGGATTTCCTCCAGAGTTTGGTATGTGGGACACAAGCTTTCATTTATTAAAGGTCACCAAATTCATCAGGGAGTCATATGGGTAGTTTATGAAGAAACCCTTGCTCAGACAGATAGATGGAAGAAACCTTTTTGCTTTCCTGACTGTGCAGTTTTGACATTTGTCTTCCCTCACCCTCGCACATTCATTTATAACCTGCCTCAATCCATTCCATTCAGATTCAATTCCTCTTCTCCCTCTATTCCATTAGTGGTCCTGAGTGATTTTCAGGCACTGAGGGCCGAATCAGCAATTCCTCCCCTCTCCCATGGATGGATGTTAACAGTACCTTTTTTCCAGCTTATTTTCTTGTGTTTAGAGGTTCTATTCTAATAACCCAGTACTAAATCGTGTGAAAGAAGGCCGAGAATTCTTTTTGTATGAAGAAATGAAAAGGTGGTTGAGGAATTTATTATTTTTGTGTAAGGGGTTTTATTCTCCTTAAAGATGCATTCTTATCAAGTATGTGCCTTTGTCCTTCCCTACAAGGTGTAAGTGGAGAAGGTGGAGAAGTGGTCTAGGAAGGAGCTGTCCTCATGGGAAGAAAGGGTAACTGAGGAGCACAGATGCCAGAACCGACAAAAACGAGGGGATCCCCAGAACAAAAATAAGATAGACGCAGTTCCAGAGTAAGACAAGACCTAACTCATTTGCAGTGCAGGAATTCCAGGGGTCGTTGTTATTAAGAGATGGGACACATTGCCATCGCCTCTCAGAGCAGCCCTGCCATTCCTGACCCCACCTCCTTGGTGCCCTTGCTCTCCCTCTGTGGACGCCTTGTCTTAGGTGGGGTGGGTACGTTCCCATACCTGGCTCATGAGAAGGTGAAAGCCCTTGAACATGCTTCCAGGGCTGCACAAGGAGGTCATGTGTTTTTGACTCTGCCTGCAGTTTGAAGGCAGAAAAGCCAAACTATCAAATCCAATGTTGTTTTAATAGTGGTATAGTACTATTCCTGAAGCACATAATGAGCTGAATGGGTTATGTTTTAAATTCTAAATAATGATTTACAGAAGAAGTTTTAGAACACATCCTTCTGTACAGTGTGAACAAACTGCTAATATAATTTGACCAGCTCTGGGTAATTGATTCTCTCAGCGTAGTCACAGCAAACAGGTTTATTTTGTACTCTGTCTTTTTCTTGGTGACCTCATTCAGTCACAGATATCCTAGGGAGTGTTATTTAAGAAAAACACAGACTTTCCTTGTCTTAGTTTATGTCGCAAAGTGAGTGAGAACATCATCAAACAAAGAGCTGAGGATTAAACTCAAGAATTTAATTCCTAGTCTGCTTTCCTTGTTTGTTTTTTCTTTTTTTAGAATGAGCAAAGGTACTTTGAGTAGTACTAAAAAGAGAAAAGAGATTACTATCTAATAACAACTGATTCCTAAGTTCTGTGTGAGTGCTTTTGCCAACAGTAGCCATCACTTTCCTAGTACTAAAACAGCATGGACGCCAGGGTCTGACTGACTGAGTTTGAATTCTGGCTCTACCTGAACCACTCGCTGCCTTAGTTTACACATCTGTAAAATGGGGATGGTGCACCAAATTCATAGGGTTGTTGTGATAGTTAAGTAAGTCAGTATTTGTAAAATGTTTACACACTGACAGTAAATATAAAATATAAGTGTTAGCTTTTGTTTTGTAAATCATAAACATTTATTTGTTTTTATAGCCTTTAGTTCATATATATATATATTTCCCATTACTTAAAAATTTTGGATGGGTGAAATATATGTGTAATACATATGAGAAAGCCTTTTTCATTGTTTACCTTCTTTTGAAACATGTGATCTGTTTGTGCGGCCAGACTTGCCCTGATGTCATCAGTAAGTAGCTCTGTGACAGAACCGCCCTTCATGTGTGCTTTTGACATTATTGACTCCAGCTCCACAATGGGCATTGTTTGACCTGCCTGCTGCTGGCATTGATGGGTTTGCATTGATTTTTCCGTACATTTTGTCCTGGTGCCCTTTGTGGCTAATGGCATGCATTTGTGAGACAGCAGGCTTTGGAAGAGAAGAACACTAACCTACACTTACTAAATGAAAGCTGCTAGCTTGACCTCACTAATTCTATGTTTTTGTTTATGAGGATTATTATTATTATTATTATTTTTAATGTACATAAGCCTTTTAAAAACCACCTTTAAAATTATGTAATTTTCCCATAACCTGGATTACATTTTAATATCTATATTTATATATAAAATGCACATATGTAATTTTTACAAATCTGATATATATTTGTAAAGACTTTATTTATTTTAGAGAGGGGGGAAGGGAGAGAGAAAGACAGGGAGAGAAACATCGATGTGAGAGAAAAACATTAATCAGTTTCTCATACTCCAGACCGAGAACCAAACCCACAAACCAGGCATGTGCTCTGACCAGGAATTGAACTGGTGACCTTTTGCTTTGCAAAACGACACCCAACCAACTGAGCCACACTTTGCAGGGCCAAATCTGACTTATTCTCAAACTTTTCTTCCCCTCCAATGTAATCTTAATATTGCAAAAGATTATCCTATGATAATCCTTTTGTAGATATATTTGTACCTGTGGCTACTTTGAACTTACTAATTTTTGAGATGACTAATGTGCTTGCCTAAGACATACTATCTTTATAATAGCAATTTTATGATTATGCTTAATTGCAAATGTAATTTTATTATGGCAATCACAGTTACTTTATTGTAAGTATAATGTCAAGTGTTAATGAAGCAACTTTATCCTCATCAGATATCTCTGCCTTTTGGTCCTCACAAGTATATGAAGTTTTGCTATTCTTAAAGCTCTTCAGTTCATTCTTTTTAGTATGTAAATTCCTTTTCTTTTATATAATTGTTATGTCAAAGGGTACTGAATGTGAATATCCAGCACTGTAACTAACATTATGCCATACACTCTGAGGCACACACAGTCTTTTATGTTGATACTTACAAGGCTTCGTTCCGGCAAATGTAGTGTCTGTGGGCCATTTTGTTTTGAAAAAGAATGTAGCAAACAGAAGTTTCCCATGAGAAAGTCAGTTTGTGCAAGCAAATTATAAAAAACAACTGTGTGGCACCTTTATTATCCAGAATATATAAAAAAACTCCTACAATTACAATAAGAAGAATCATATTTTTTAATGGGCAAAGGATATGAATAGACAATTCTCTGAAGAAGATAGACAAATGGCCAATAAGCACATGAAAAGATGCTCAACATTGTTAGTTATGAGGAAAATGTAAATTAAAACCACAATAGATACATACCATTTACATACAGATACAATAGATACAGAAAGACAATAACAGTGTTGAAAAAGATGGAGAAATCCCTGTACCTTTGGGAATATAAAATTGTATAGCTGCTTTGCAAAATAGTCTGCAAGTCCCTCAAGTGTTAGAAATAGAGTTCTTGTTTGACCCAGCAATTTCACCCCAGGTGTATATCCAAGAGAATTAAAAATAAATGTATAAACATAATGTTCATAAGAGCATTGTTCATAGTAATAAAAAAAGTAGAAACAACCCAAGCTTCTGAATGCATAAATAAAATGTAGTATATCCATACACTAAAATATTATCTGGCCATAAAAAGAAATGAAGTATTGGTACATTCTGTAACATAAATTAACCTTGACAATATTATGTTAAGTGAAAGAAGCCAGAAACAAAAGCAGCATATTGTATGGTTTCATTTATATGAAATGTTCAGAGTTGTTGAATCCTTAGGGACAGAAAGTAGATTACTGGTTGAGGGGCAGGGAGGGACAGTGGTGAGGGACTGCTAATGGATATTGACTTATTAAAAAATTGAGGTATGATTGATATAATATTGTCTCAGTTTCAAGTATACAATGATTGGATATCTGTAAATTGTGAAATGGTCACCACAGTAAGTCCAGTTAGCATCTATCCCCATACATAGTTATAATTTTTCCTTTTTTCCTCTCGTAATGAGGGCTTTTAGGATCTACTCTCTTAGCAGCTTTCAAACAGGGAATACGGTGTTATTAACTATAGTTGCCCATGCTGTACATTACATCTTCATAGCTTACTTATTTTATAGCTGGGACTTTGCACCTTTTTATTCTGTTCCCCCGTTTTGTTCCCCCTCCCCTGCGCCGTCACCACCAGTCTTTCCTTTGTGTCTGTGAACTTTGCTAAAGAACAAACCAAGCAAGAAACAAAGTTTCTTGGTTTGTTCTTTAGGTTCCACATATGAGTAAGATTATACAGCATTTGTCTTTCTCTGACTTACTTCACTTAACATAATGCCCTCACTCTCCAACCATATTGTCACAAATGGCAAGAGTCCACTGTTTTTTTATGGCTCAATTGTATTCCACTGTACGTACTGTATATATGACATTTTCTTTTCCATTCCTTTATTGGTGGACACAGGTTATTTCCGTGTCTTAGTTACCATAAATAGTGCTGCAGTGAATGTAGAAATGCACATATCTTTTCTAGTTAGTACTTTTGTTTTACTGGATAAATACCCAGAAGTGAAATTACTGGATAATGTGATAGTTCTATTTTTTGATTATTTGAGGAGCCTCTATACTTTTCCCACAGTGGCTTAACCTATTTGGATTCCCATCATTGGTGCACAAGAGCTCCCTTTTTCTACATCCTTGCCAACACTTTTTAGTACTTGTCTCTTTGAAAATAGCCACTCTAACAGGTGAGATGAAGGAACATCTCAGTGTAGTGTCGATTTGCATTTCCCTGATGCTTCGTGATGTTGGGCCTGTGTTCACGAACCTGTCTACTATCTGTATGTCTTCTTTGGAAAAATGTCTATTCAGATCTTCTACCAATTGTTTTATTTCATTGTTTGGTTATTTTGGTTTTAGTTTTTGCTGTGTAGTTATATGAGTTCTTTATATATTTTGGATATTAATCCTTTATCGCATTCACAGATATTTTCTCCCATTCAGTAGTTTGATTTTTGTTTTGTTTTGTTGAGTGATTTCCTTTGCTGTGCAGAAGATTTTTAGTTGTAGTCTTTCGTGTTTGCATTTGCTTTTGTTGCCTTTGCTTTTGGAATCACATACAAAAAAATTATTTGCAAGACCTTGTGTCAAGGAGCTTACCATCTGTGTTTTCTTCAAAGAGCTTTATGGTTTCAGGTCTTAATATGTTCAAGTCTTTAATCTATTTTGAGTTAATTTTTGTGTACAATGTAAGATAGTGTGGTTTCATCCTTTTGCATGTGGCTGTCCAGCTTTTCAAACACCAGTAATTGAAAAAACCATCCCTTCCCCCATTTTATCTTCTTGCCTCCTTTGTCATAAATTAACTGACCATACATGCATTGGTTTATTTCTGGGTGCTCTATTCTGTTCCACTGATCAGTGAGTCCATTTTTATACTCATACCATACTTTTTTGATTACTATAGTTTCCCAATGTAGTTTGAAATTAGGGAACATGATGCTTCTAGCTTTGTTCTTTCTCAAAATTGTTTTTGCTATTTGGGTTTTTTGTGGTTCCAAATGAATTTTATGATGGTGTGTTCTTTTTCTGTGAAAATAGCCATGGGAATTTCATCAGGTATTGCATTGGGTCTGTAGATTGCTTTAAGTAATGCAGACATTCAAACAATCGTAGTTCTTTCATTCCATGAGCACAGAATATCTTTACATTTATTTTTGCCTTCTTCAGTTTCTTTCTTCAGTGCCTCACAGTTTTTACAGTATAGGTCTTTCACCTCCTTGGCTGAATTTCTTGCTAAGTATTTTTTAAATTTATTTTTATTTTTTAATTAATTAATTTAATTGTTGTTCAAGTACAGTTTTCTGTCTTTTACTCCCATCCCAGCCCACCCCCCCAGTGCCTAAGTATTTTATTAATTTTGATGCAGTTTTAAATTGGATTGTTGTCTTAATTTCTCCTTTTGGTAATGCATTATTAGTGTATAGAAACAACAGATTTTTGTGTGTTGATTTTGTATCTGCAACTTTACTGAATTTGTTTATTCTAACCATTTTTTGGTTGAATAGTTAGGGTTTTTTGTATACAATATCACAAATCATCTACAAATAGTGATAGTTAACTTCTTCCTTTCCAATTTGAATGCCTTTTTTATTTCTTTTTCTTGCCTAATTGTTCTGGCAAGGACTTCCAATACCGTGTTGAATAAAAGTGGCAAGAGTGGACATCCTTGTCTTGTTCCTGATCTTAGGAGAAATTGTTCAGCTTTTCACCATTGAGTATGATGTTAACTGTGGGCTGGCTTTCTTTTTCAGGTGATTAAAATGTTCTGGAATTAAATAGTGGAGGTGTATGAAAAACTTGTGACTATACTAAAAATCACTGAATTGCACAATTCAAAATGGTGAATTTTATAAAATGTAAATTGTATCTTCACAAGCCTGTTATTAAATGAAACAACTGTGAAATAATGGTAGCCACTGCTTTTCCTAAAGTTCACGAACATGCAGATTTCTAGGAGTTCTGAGGATGTTAAATGCAAATGTGTGTGTGCACTGTGCATAATATGGTATGTAATGTGATATGACAATATCATATCTAGTAATACACTGTTACATAATATTATTGGCTCTAAATCCTCATTTGTTAATTGATCTTCATGGAGACCCTAGGGACTTATTTATGTATATGATCACTGTTCTTCTACTAAAGGATATAATCCTTTTATCTCTGGAAGTTATTATAAATGATTGTATTATTAATTGTTATCTCTCTTTTTCTAGGATTTCCTGAGAATGTAACAGTGAAACAGTGTTATCGTCTACTTGGAAACAGTCTCAACGTGTGCGTAGTAGCTAAACTAATCAAAGTCCTATGTGAATAATTTTAAAATGACTCAAAAAGATGGTCACAGTATTCCATCATATCCAAATGGTAATTCTGAAATTCTAGTTTGAATTAGCTTTGATGAAATTCAACTACATTACCTTGTTCTCTCTTTAATATAAAACTTGAATTTATCACAAAAAAAATGACAATTTATTCCCTTAAGTTTACACTAGTGTGTTTTGTAAAGTGAAATTGTTGTTATGCTTTAGGTAAATATACTTTCATATGAAATTGTTAAGTATATATGTAAAATATTTTTTATAATATGGTATAAACAAATTTAGGAACATTAAAATTTTAATGTTGACATCAATATTTTATAAAATGTCATAATAGGCATATTATAATGAACCTGAGAAGTTGTATACTTTTGTGTTAATTAAAGAAATTGCTTTATGAATCTCGTCATTTTTTTGTCACATGATTATTCCTAATTCTGAAATAATGATTTTAATTCTAGTCTGTTTCAAATATTGAGTGGTTTACTTAATTTCAATACCTTAAACTTTCCTTTATTTTATTTAAATGCTTATAGTATTTTAAACCAAATTATCATCACTCACCTTATATAATAGTCTGATGAAAATGTCAGAAAAATAATCTTAAATTCTTGATTACCACTCCATCAGGAAGCCACAGAATATGTGGGTACACATTATCTTTCATTCTCCCTCCGCTAAAAGGCAGAACTCGTCCCTGCTTCATCTGTGCATATTTCCATTAGTCGCTGTTACCAGAGCTTGTGTTGGTCTCTCTTCTCAGCTTCTTTTTGTAGTTGAATCTGCCATTTCTAGTCAAACTAAGTCTTGTATCAAAAATTCTTTGGTTTTGATTTCAGCGGTAAAAGCAAGTGACAGATGGAGGAGAAAATAAACAGAAATATGAATAGAAATTGTATCACAAATTTTAATTCATATTTTTATCCTTTAAAAAATAATTTGATATGGAGAAATTGAAACCCTGTGCATTGCTGGTGGGAATGTAAAATGGCACAGCAACTGTAGAAAATAGATGACAATTTCTTTAAAAATATATAGAACTACTGTATAACCCAGCAGTTCCACTTCTGGGTAGTACCCAGAAGGATCGAAAGTGGGCACTGGAACAGATATCCGTCCATCAATGTTCATAGCGGTGTTATTCACATAGCCAAAAAGTGGGAACAACGGTGTGTCCATCGGCAGGTGAAGGATAAACAAAGCACAGTGTAAACCTTCAGTGGAATATAATTCAATCATAAAAAGGAAATTTTGACATATGCTACAATGTGGATGAACCCTGAAGACATTATGCTCAGTGGACTAAGTCGTGCACTACAGGACACATTTTGTATGACTCCACTAAAATGAAGTATGTAGAAGATCCAATCCACGGAGAGAGTAAGTAGACTCGTGGTTTGCACATGGGGTCCTTGGGAACGGGAGCTAGTGTTTAATGGCTGTGGAGTTTCTGTTCCGTGTGGGGGAAAGTTCTGGACATGGGTGATAGTGATCCCAGCACAACAGTGGGAATGGGATTCATGCCACTGAACTGTGCACACTTAAAACCATTAAAGTGGCAGATTTTATGTCATGTACATTTTACCACAAAGAAACAACAAGTACTCCCCATCACCAGTTTTTTTCAGAAGAACCCGTAGACAAATATGGATAAAGGGCAATTGTAGGTCAATGCATATACAGGTATGGGCAAAAGTAGGTGTACAGTGTGAGTACGCAGAACACAGTTTATACCTGTATCAATAATGCTATTATAATAAGCTTGATCTGCACATCTTTCCTTGCAAACAGCTGTAAATCAACTTTTGCCCACCCCTATATGTATCCGTTCTCACCATCTACATTTTATGTGTGTGTGTGTGTGTGTTTAAAGACACACCTGATTACCATTTTATAAATTCCAGTATACAACCATCTGAAATCACTTTGGCATACTTTTACTAGGTTCTCTTCATTTCTGAAAGATCTTTGTTGATAAAAAATTTCACAGTTTTCTTGTGATTTTGCTGTAATGATAGTGTCCTGTGCTCCAGTGAGCAGTGTTACAGAAAGTGGGTGTTGAGTTACAGGCACTAACTACAAACAGGAAAGCTCTGCGGAGACGTATGGTACCAAACTAGAAGACGGAATGTTGCTTTGTGAGCTATTTTAAACTGCTGCAGTATAGTCATGGGCAGAGAATGATTCTTGGCTTTAATTCATACTTGAAAATATACAATGGCAAATATAAAACTCACACTTTAATTTATATATACATGCATAATTTAGAAATGTCATTTTATTGAATGTCTAGCAATAACATTTTATTGAATTTTATTGGTAATATGCATAAAATTTGCAGGGAAATTTCTGATATTTGGATTTCTTATGTATTTATTTAATATTTTAAAAAATATAGCCTCTTCTTTCAAAAAGAATTATATGTAATTAAATCTGTGTCATTTCTAACATGATTGTTCATTCTCCTCTTTGCATCCCTTATGTTCTTTTAACTGGCTTGCCAAGCAACTTTACTTATTAACCTGCCTTCTATTTTAGTAGGTTTTTCAGACCCCAAAATAATGAAGAATAAAAGATAATCAAATGGGATAGTGCAAACAAAGTGAATCATAGTAGAAAATGATTTTGAGGAGACGATTGGGTAGTCATCATACAAGAGCCAGAGCTTGCTAATCCTTTAGGAAGGGTATCTCGAAATGTTTTTTATTTCTTTTGGGTCGGTATACTTTCACCTCCTCAGGAAACTTACATTATTGTTTCTTCCTCCTCTTAGATATTCAGACTCAGCATTTCAACCCTTTTTAGCATTTACTATGTTCCAGTCTCTTCTGTATTAAAAACAGTGACCACAGTTAGAAAGCTGCTAGATCCTATATCCTGTATTCTTTGATCTCTTCCCACTGATAGCCAGATCTCTTAGACAGGTTATCCACAACTTATCCCCACTTAGACATCTCTCTGCTAACGCTTCCACTGCTGCACTGTAACTTTGGCCTTGGTCAAACTACCAACAGAGCATTTATTGTTATGGTCAGGGATCTCTGTGTGCCTGAGGCTTTCAGTCCTTACATTTTCTGACTTAGCTACAGTTGAAACTTCCTCTTTCTTGTTATAGTTTCTGCCCTTGTCCATTATGGCATTATGGTGTTATGTTATTGTTTTTAATTAAAGTAGAGTTGACATACAATATTATATTAATTTCAGGTGTACAACATAGGAATTCAACATGTATACCTGAATGCTTAGTGGCAGGCAAGAGAGCCACATGACAGACAGGAGGGTGGGAGTCACCTGGAGGGATCAGCTGACCCCCTTCGGAGGACCCTGAACATTGTGTTCTGGCTAATAATTCAGTTCTGCACAGTGGACATGGCCCCATGCCTTAGAGAGTGAGAAAACATATCTAACCACCAGCCAACTCGCTCCCCATCACAAGGTAGAGCCTTTAAAAAAAAACAAGTAGTTGAAAATAGTGAAAGTTTGAGGGACTACCCAGCACTTAAAAAAAAAAAAACACCAAGGGTAGTACATAGGCTCCCTTAACAAAAATCACAGTCTCTCTTCCAATTTCAACCTACTTCAAGTCCGAAGTTAATAAATTAGAGGCTTCTGGGGGTAGAGAAATGAAGCTGAGGACAGATGGGAAGGGTTTAATTCTGGCTATGGCAATGCCGAGTGGAAAAGAGAACAGACTGACCACTGTCAGAGGGGAGGGGCATTGGGCTGGGTGAAGAAGGTGAAGGGATTAAGCAAAAACAAACAACAAACACCCCAGTCACAGAACCTTATGGTGGTACCAGAGAGAAGGGTGTGGGGGGAGGTGGTAAAGGGTAAAATGGGGGTAAACGGTGAGAGGAGGAAACTTGGCTTTGGATGGTACACAGATCACGTACCATAGAATTGTACACCTGAAATCTACATAATTTTATTAACTAATGTCATCCCAGTAAATTATTTTTTTAAAAGGAAGGAACTACTGTGTGGTCAACCTCCAGCACGCACTGAGGGGCCCGGCCCGCAGGCTTGCTGTCGTGTCTGCTCCCAAAGTAAAGGAGCCCCAGTCGCGCTTTTCCTTTTGATAGCTGTTTTTCAGAACTGAAATTTAGAGTCCAGAGTTTCCCAAATAAGGCTCCCAAGGACCTAATTTTAAACCTATAAAAAGAAGTAGTTAAAGTGTGTTTCCCTGAGTTGATTATTTTATTGAAAAGAAGGTTAACTTTTCATAATTTGGTATCCAGCTTGGAACTGTGACTATTTTCAGCTACCCATTGAAAGCTTACTTACAACTTTGGACTTTGAAATTGAGTGAGGGTCATACGGTCTCAGCAGTTTTTTCATAGCCTGTGATTGAACTCATTATGTAACTTTCCAAGAGAGCCTTTGAACCTGCCTGTACTAGAACTCCATGTCTTTCGGCTTCTGTTGAAGCGTGCTGCATACAGCCATGGTGTCAACTTCTTAACATGCATTCTTTGATCCACCTCCAATCCAGCCTCTTCTTTCTCTGTTTATCACACTCACCAAGATATCTAGTAATGCCTATAGTATTTCATTTTATTAGAAGGCAGTAAGAATGCTAAACTTGTTCTTCAACTTCAGTTTATACCAGTGAGCCTGCCTGCACATTTTCCCCTCTCCTGTCATTCCTTCACCATGTTTCTAAAATTTTAACTTAAAAAATTATGCTTCTAAAACTTTAGTTTTTAAAAGACTTCCTTCCCACCCTGGCCAGTGCGGTTTAGTTGGTTGGACTGTCGTCCCATACACTGAGAGGGCGCGGGTTGGTTCCCGGTCAGGGCACATGCGTGGCGTGGGGTTGGGATGCCCAGCTGGGGTGTGCACAGGAGGCGGTCGATCAGTGTCTCTCACACAGGTGATTCTCACTCTCTGTCTCTCTTTCCCAAGCCTCTTCCCCTCTTTCTCTCTAAAAACAATTAAAAACATGCCCTAAAATGAGAATTTAAAGTTTTTCCCCTAGCCTCTCTGCCTCCATTTCTCTCTTTAGGACTTCTAAGAACATTTCACATGAAGATACTTGTGCTCTTCAAAAATCTTCATGAAGCCATGGCCTCAGAACTATATTATTATTTTTGTTTTGATTTGTGAATTTATTTTTTAAATTTATTTTTCCAATAAATATGAGCACATGCAAATCACTTTTTTGGCTTCTTACTCCCCAAATTCTCAAATACATTGGCTTATACTGACCATGGGTAAATGCAGGTTCTGAGTCTTACTTTCAACTACATCTGACATTCACAACTCCCCCTCAAGCACACCATTATTTGATTCTTAAAGCTTTTGAAATCCTAATTTTCGTA